ATGTCGCCTCTTCATGGGCCCTTTGACACATTCACATGGGGGTTTTATGATTCCGTGATTCAGATCTAAGTGGGGAGCTGAGGATCACGTTCAAGAAAGAGCGACTGGAGTGACTCCGCTTCCTCGGCCAGGAGACCAGCTGCAGAAGGAGCTTCAGACCAAAAATGGCCGGATGGAGCCCAGACTCAGCGAGAGACAACAAGTCATGGAAACGTTCAATGCAGGGGAAAATTTCTTAAATTAATAAAGGTTTTGGTTTTACAGTTCAAATATTTGATATCTGCTTATTTTACATAACGTTCTTATAGAATTATTCCTTATTTCTAGGCCTCTATAATGAGACTATTTCTATGTCTTATAGGTCTCATTTATGAATCTGTCCGTTATTTATTCATTTATTTCTTTTTAAAGGCTGCCTTCAGGTGCTCAGGGCAGCACATATAGTGCACCCTCCTCTCCCCCACAACAACCCTGTGAGGTAGGTTGGGATCAAAAGGTGGGACTGCCCCAAAGCCCCCCGGGGGGCTCACACTATTTTTCCCTCCAGGCTTCTACTGCAGGTTCCCCCTTGAACTTCTGCACCTCCACCCTCTGCATCTCCCCTTCAGCTGGGTCTTCTTTGCCTGCGTCTTCACGGGAGGCAAAGTGGGGGAGTCCCTGAGCCTTTGCTCTGTTCTCGGGAGGGGAACCAGCTGAGCTGAGCCCCAGAGCGGTGACAGGAGAAGCAGCGCTGGGCCTTATGGACAAACTCAGCCTCAGCAGATCACCAGGCCCCCATGAGATCCACCCGAGGTTTGGAAGGAGCTCAGAGCTGAGATTGTGGACTTTCTCATCAAAATAGGCAACCTGCAGAGCCTCCAGAGTTAAGGACTGGAAGGTGGCCAGCGTAACTCCAGTTTTTAAGAAGACCTCATGGGGAGACCCAGGACATTATAGACATGTGTACTTAACATCTGTTGTGGGGAAGATATTGGAAATTGCTGTTAAAGATAGGATTACCAATCATCTGGAAACCCAGGTCTTGCTCAAGGATACCCAACATGGCTCCACTAAAGGAAGGTCCTGTATAACTTCTCAGCCATGGAATAAAAGGGCAGGTCCTCTGTGGGTTCCCAGGGTTTTCTCCTAGGACCGCTTCTTTTTAATAGATTTCTAAATGGTCTGGAACAGGGCATGAGTCGTGGAATTCACTGATGGCACTAAAGGGTTCAGAGTGGTAAAAACCCTAAGGGACCACGAAGAGCTCCAAAGGTTCTCTGTCCATTAGGGGAGTGGGCATCAAAACGGTAGAGGTCAGCCAATCTGACGCACGCTGGGGCCAAAAATCCTAACTCCTGATAGAAGCTAACGGGATCAGAGCTGGCTGGGACAAATGAGGAAAGAGAACTTGGAGTAAAGGGAAACAGTTCAATGAAGGTGTCGACACAGTGGGCATCCACTGTGAAAAAGGCCAACAGTGTGCCAGGGGTAATAAAAAAGCATTGAAAACAGAGAGGCTAATATCATAATGCCCTTATAGAAATCAAGGGTGAGACCACATCTGGAATATCGTCTGCAGTCCTGGTCGCCACACCTCAGAGAGGACCCAAGGGAGCTAGAGAAGGGTCGGAGGAGGGCAACTCAGATGACGAAAGGGGTGAAGCAGCTTCCCTGTGAGGAAAGGTTGTGGCATTTGGGGCTCTTTAGCCTCGAAAGGAGGCAAACAAGAGGGGACCTGACTGAGGTGTACAAAACCATGCATGGTGTCGGTCAAGTGGAAAAGGAGAAGCTGTTTCCCCCTTCCCCAGAGACTAGAACCAGAGGTCACCGAATTAAATTGAATCCTGGAAGAACCAGGACAGAAAAAAGGAAATATTGTTTTACACAATGCACAATTCAGTTTTGGCATTTGCTACCATGAGAACTGGCACTGTATACCAGCTGGGCTGCTCCAAAAGAAGGTTGGAGCAATTCATGCAAGTCCTGGGGATCCATGGCTCTTACCCTTCAAGGCAGTGGGTCTGGCTCTGAAGGCCATCTGCTGGGAGACCAGTGGGCTTCCTGGTGCGGCTGGTGGGCCACTGGGGGAACAGACTAGTGGACTAGATGAGCCAGGGGTCCGATCTAGCAGGGCACCGCTTGGGTTCTTCTGTCCTCCACTTTGACAGACTCAGGACTGCGCCACGAGTCTGCCCTGGTTGGTCTCCCACCTCCTTCCTCCACCAGGGGGAGCTCTGGCTGCTCTCTGGATCTCTTGGAGGGGGCACAGGACCACTTCCAGCATCTTTCCCATCTGGGGGGGAAGGAGGGAACAGGCAGAGACCCTCCATTTGGGTCCCTTCCTGAGCCGGTCGGATGCCATGTCTCCGAGGCCAGAGGGGACCTGGAAGGGATTTGGGGGGACTCTCCCGGGCGCAGGGGCAGAACTAGCAAAGCTCTCGCGTCTGCCGGGGGGGGGGGGGAAGAGGAAGGGCGAGGAAG